TAAAGTCTTGAATTTGCCATTTTTCTTTCTGAAAGCACGCAGTACACTCAGAAGACATCCTCCACAACAACGCTTATAATCATCATGACTGTCTTAAGAGTCAAGAGCAGCAGCAACTTGGGCTCCCAAGCCACTTATTTCAATAGGTACTTTACTTAAACAACCAAAGTAATAATGGTGATGCTATTGCATGCGATGCATTTCATTTTTCATTGGCAAGGAATTTAACACTGGGTTCAAGCTCAGGGACTTTGCCAAAGCAATCCCCAACTCCCATCTATGAAGGTCGATTTTCCAGGACCACTCCTGGTAACAACTTTTCTGTCAGTCAGCACCTAATGAGGAGACAAAATCCATGCCAATTATTTGAACATGGAAGTAGCAACTACAGGAAGCAGCTACTGACCCAAGGGTTGAAGGAACAAAGGAAGAGTTAGGAGTTATTAAAATGTATACATTTAGAGGCTGGGTCCTGCAGAACTGACAGTCATATTTTTTCTTCACATATTCTGATGTCTCTGAACTAGGAGGATAGTCCCAGTGGATCTGACTCAGAACTCTGAGGACGGGTTGCTGGCTGGCTGGAGCAAGGCCTAACATGGAGAGCTGGAAAAGCAACAATGTGGCTTGCGGATTTCATCACTAACATCACAAAGCTGAGTATAGTAGGGAGGGTGTGGAGTTCTGAGACCGCAACTTAACCAGCAGCACAGAGTAACTTATTCTGAAGCCCACAGTCTCCGAAATAGCTGTCTTTAAATCTTATAAACTTTCCCACACTTTCCTTTATATCCATTTTCTTAATTTCATTCTCTCCATAAATTTTGGAGTTGGCAGAGTTGCATTCAGATTTCAGTTTTGTTTCTAAACTTATGAGCTATGTGACTGTAAGCAAGCTATTTAACTTCTTTTAGACTTACTTATCTATAAGCCAGGATCGTAATATCTATTTCACAGGATTGGTGTAGATGTTATGTGAAGCAAAGTTCGCATGATGTGTACTTCGCATATGCACAGCGTGTGGTACTAGCAAGGCCACGCTGGTTCACCTCCTTCCCCTTCAGATGTGTCTTCTCCATCACTCTTCCTCCTTTTCTTTCAGCCTCTCGTACCTAGCCTTTTTCACTGTGTCTTCTCTCTGTCTTTTCTCCTCTATTTTGTTCTCTTCTCCCCCTTTTCATTCTTGTCTCCATCCTTTAATACTCTAATTCATCTTGCTTCATCCCTTTCATTGTCCACCTACCCTTACATGGCCAATGATCCTCAATAAAAGAAAGGCTCCCACGTTTGCTTTGGACTTGGAAATGTGTGTCTTTTTACCATTACTTAACTGTTTAGTGCACCTTATATCTTCTTTGGTGTCATATATAGAAAATTGCCATTTTGAGAGCTTATTGCAATTTATTGCATAGTGTAATGGAGTGCAGTAGCACGATCTCAGCTCACTGAAACCTCCGCCTCTCAGGTTCAAGCGATTCTCCTGCCTCAGCCTCCCAAGTAGTTGGGACTACAGGCATACATCACCACGCCCAGTAATTTTTTTTTTTTTTTTGTATTTTTAGTAGAGACAGGGTTTCACCATGTTGCCCAGGCTGGTCTCAAACTCGTGAGCTCAGGTTATCCGCCCGCTTCAGGCTCCCAGATTGCTAGGATTACAGGTGTGTACCACTGCTCCTGGCCTCAAGTAGACATTCTTGAATTATAAGCAGTTAAACCAGGTGATGTACAAGTGAAAACAAATACAATGGTTTCTTTGCCTAGTATATACTATTTATTAAGAAATGACAGAAGACATTGTATCACAGATATAACTGAAATATCCAGCAGGCAAGATCATTATGATCCAAAAATCAAGGGATGGATCAGATGTTAAAATGTAGAAAGTCCAGCCTACTTCTTAGAAGCTGAATGTTGGGTAATGAGCTTCCATTCTCTCTGGTGACACTTGAGGAATGTCACCTGGCTATAATTTGGTGTCTTTGATGTTGCAAAAACTTTTAGGTAAACAAGATAAATATGGATTATAAAGCATGGAAACATTAGACTTGTGGATAGCTCTCATGGATAAATTCCACAACATGTCAGTAATT